TATTGAAATTTGAGAATAATCTTGAATAATCTAGGATTCAATATTTGATACCAGTTTTTTTATCTAAATAATCTTTCAGAATAATCTCATCTTCTCAATCATAACTTCAAAAAGATCTTCCACATCATGAAGATGATCCCCCAATAATCTCATGGATGTGGATGCATGCCCTTAGACACTTCTCATATATCATGAGAAATTCTAGATGAGTTATAAAATTGAAGAATGATATTTTTTCCCCATTAAATTGGAGTTCCTCACTACTAGTAGATTAGTATAATTAAGATTTAGGATTTATATATATTAAGATTTAGGATTTCATCCTAAAATGTAACTTGAAGTAGTCCACAATTTTAATATAACGTTTTATTACTTCATATTTTTAGCGGTATAGACTTCAATTCAACAGCCTTCTTCATGGCCAGACACTTCGTCTAGATCGTGTGGTTGTGTCGTCATTCTTTTTTGTCAATTTGTCATTATCATATTTCATAATCGCATCTTCATTTTTTAGATCGATTTGACTGTGATATCATGTTAAGACTCAGAGCACTATTCTAAAACATCAACCATAACCGAAGTAATCCAATATCTTAATACTTCCTCCGTTCTTAAATAAATGCAACGGTCAACATTTCACAATTGCCGAGACACAACTTTGACCATTAATATAAATGATTTTGTATTAGTTAAAAAATTTAAAAAATTAGATTATGAAAATTTACAATGAGACCAGTTTAACAATATTTTTTTTCATAAAATAATATTATTACATTAATAAATAAAACGTAGTCAAAGTAGAACATGTGAATAGTGTAAAAGTCAAAGTGTTGCATTTATTTAAGAACGGAGGTAGTATATCACTTTATCACTCTACAAAAAGCCCAAGCAAACCAACTACAGTAAATAAAAACTATGGCATGAAGTATAGATTAATGGATTTTACCAACTCCGCCCCACTAACATTGGATGTCGATTATTAAAAATGCATTTATGTGATTGATATTGAATTGATAAAGTAAGAATGATTTATAACCAAAAAAATTAATTTACTAAATTTTGTATAAAACAATTTTAGTGAGACAGACCGTAAAGAAAAATTGAGACAACCTTAACAAAGGAGTAGTAGTTTATTAATTAATTAGGTAGAGTCCAATTTTTATGGTGCCAATTATTAACACAAAGGTCTCTAAAAGTTTGAAAAGGTCGTGGTATTTGCGGGGCAATATTTATTAGCCCTCCATGCCTTAGTGCCCATCCAAGTAATTAAATAAGTGAGAATATATGAGTTTTGTACGAAATATAGTATCAGGGCCGGTTCTCGAGGCCGAAAGGGATGACTACCCTAGGCCCGAAAAAATAGAAGAAAAAATAGACCTAATTTTTTTCTTTATATATTGTGTGAGTATGTTTCTTTTTTTATTCTTAAGTTCAATTAATTAGGCCTAATGTTTAATTTTGTTGATAATTTGAAAATTTAAAACATAAATAAAGAGTCTTAAACAGAACCAAGTTTTAAAAAGAATATATATATATATATATATATATATATATATATATATATATATATATATTAATTTTTAGTAGGATCGGTTGTAGTTTTTAAAAACAATACGATTGTTGTTGCATAAATAAAAGACGTGTCTCTCGAGTCCTCACATCTCTTTAGCCTTTAAGGTTTTTTATTCAATTTGATTATAACATAACAAATTTATATAATTATTTGGAAAAAGGGGCAAATAAGCCCACGTACTAACAAAAAAAGGTCAAATAAGCCCTTATATAGGAGGCTATGTTCGGCCGTCGTCATTTGGAGCGGTTCCCGGTGGAAATTTTTGATGAAATTTTTTGAGCATATCATTCATTAAGTTTAGTTTACTCATACCAAATTTCAGCTAAAAACTTCAATCGAGAAGGCATTCAAATGAATTCTTGAAGATAACTGCGCAGTTAAAAGCACAGTTATATTCAAGAATTTATTTGAATGTCTTCCCAATTGAATTGTTAGCTGAAATTTGGTATGAGTAAACTCCTCTTAATGAATAAGAATCTCAAAAAAAATCATCAAAAAATTCTACCGGGAACTAACCCAAATGGCCACGGCCGAACAAAGTCTCCTACATAAAGGCCTATTTGACCTTTTTTGGTTAGTACGTGGGCTTATTTGCCCCTTTTTCCTAATTATTTTAGAGACTGTGTCTCTCAAATCTCACCCCAATTATTCTTTTTTTTTTCAAATTTCAATAAGCTACATCTGAGTTCCTAATAGTAGTTTTAGAGGACGTCAAATTTGCAGTCTTCATGCGTGAGTCCCTCACTCCCTTGGCAGCCAAATTTCTTTAAAAACCTTCGTTCTTTCGAAACTTCAAACTTTACACTCTCATCAGCGGTCAATAATTCATTCTCAACTTATGAATTCAATATGTAGTAATATTTCTTTTCATTCATCCTTTAAAAAGAAATTTTAGTGTTGTTATATGTGGCAGGTTGCCCATTAAGCGATTATTGATGATTTGCTTCACATTGTTCTACGAGAAACATTTTTAAGTGATATTTTTTCTTTTTATTCGATACTCATGTTGTTACTTTTGCCCAAATATGTAACTTAAATAATAATAAAATGATTCTCGCATAAAACTTCATTGGATACCTTTATTGTAATTGATATTTCATATAAGTATATGGTTTACTGTTTGTCATAGATATAAGCCCAAAATCGCAGGTAATGGCGAAATCCGAAATTGTTCAGCAACCGAGAATGCTGACCTCTTCAATGCTGTTAGGGGAGGGCTTGGGCAGTTTGGGGTAATCCCTATGGCAAAGATCCCCTACCCATGTCCACCCCCACCCCACCCCACCCCCCCCCCCACCCCCCACCCCCCGTTTTTTTTGAATCCCTTGTTTTCATACCATTATTTGAAGTCCCGTATTTTGTTAATTTCCTCTAATTTTTCCTGTCTAAATACAATTATTACTCATATATAAAGTCGACCATGTTTAGGTTTGATAGTATTTACTTCGTTTTAGAATTCTATGAATATTTTAATCACACTTAGGTGGCAAATTATACCGTATGACCTGTATACTGTGAGCACCGTATACCGGTTTACGGACTTCTTTATTTTTTTTTTTCCTTTTGTTTTTAAAAAATGGTAATAACTTTTTTATTTTTGATCCGATTTTTATAAAATTTATATCAACATTTTTTATTTTTCATGATCATTCAAATGAGACCAATATTGCTTATGTAATTTTAAGAAATTATCGAACTATTATATTAATGAGTATTGAATTATAAGGAAAATCGAACTAAATTTAATACAGAAAAATAATTGTGTAAATCACAATTTATCTTAAAATTGTGTATATAAAAAATTTATTTTATTATGTATTTATACATGTGAGTTACATATTTTTATACGTAAAATTATATATTTGTACACGTAAAGTTACATATTTATACACACGAGTTGCATTTGGCCTGCCTGAACGCGAGTTACATATTTTAACACGTAAAGTTATATATTTTTACACGTAAAGTTAGTTATTTATACATGTGAGTTACATATTTATACACACGAGTTGTATTTGACCTGTCTGAAAGCGAGTTACATATTTTTACACGTAAAGTTACATATTTTTACACGTAGAGTTACATATTTATACACACGCGTTGCATTTGGTCTGACTGGACGTGAGTTACATATTTCTACACGTAAAATTACATATTTTACATAGGTTAATATAATAGTTCGATAATATGTTAAAATTACATAGGCAATATTGGTCTCATTTGAAAGATCATGAAAAATAAAAAATGTTGATATAAATTTTATAAAAATTGGATCAAAAATAAAAAAATTATTACCATTTTTTAAAAAAAGAGAAGTAAAAAATAATATCTAATGCCTAAAACCGTATGCCGGTATACGGTGCTCACCGTATACAGGTCATACGGTATAACAACTGCACTTAGGTAGATTCCCCAGAATATATACTACCATACTTGGTACTCCCTCTGTCCCGAAATTATCTTCATTCTTTCCTTTTCGGTCCGTCCCAAATTTATCTCCTCTTTCCCTTTTTGATAAAGAATATGTGTTTCACAACCATTCTTACACATTTCTCTCTCCTCTGTTCAACTCTCCACCACGCAAATCTCACTATCTTAATCCCCGTGCCTAGTCAAAACCGAAGTTAATTATGGGACGGAGGGAGTATTAATTAAACAAATACTCCCTTTTTGGACCGCCCCAATTAATTCTTCCAACTTCCACTTTTGAAAAAAAATTGTGCTTCACATTCATTCACTTTTTTCTTACACAACTACAACCATACATTTCCACTTACAACCATACATTTCCACTTTATTTCCACTTATAATGACATTGACAATCAAGTCTTAATTAAACTCGCAATAGTAGTGGAATGGAGTGCGATTGGGTGTAATTTAATTGTTTCTGCACTTTATCTTTTTCAGCCCCGGTAAGATTGTCTCATATTAACTTTTCGGAAAATCTCACTAAGATTGTCTCATACCAAATTTGGCAAAGTTTGTGTGACTCTAAATCATTTTTACTTTATTTTTACTTTATCAATTTAATATCAACCACATAAACTCACTTTTCTTAATAATCGTGTCATCTTCTCTTGTCCCAATCTTAGAGGCCGTTTGGCAACCCTCATTTTCGGCTTATCAGGCTTATCAGCCAACTTTTTTACCAAACACGTAAATTTTGCTTTCGCGCGCTGAATTGTGTAATAAGCCGAAAAAGTAAGGTTGGAGTTACTTTTCTGGCTTTATTGGCTGAAGTTACTGTAGATGATCATTTTAGCTATTTTTACATATAATTTTTTCTTTATTTTATTAATAAAATATATTTTAAAATTATTTTTTTCTTGTATCAGCAGAATCAGCCAATGCAGCCACTTCAGCCAGAACTTCATAAATTTCAGCAGAATCAGCCAAAACAGCCGATTTTCGTGCTACCAAACGGGCTCTTAGTGGGACTGAGGTAGTACAAGTCAAGTCTCGTTTACATGTATAAATACACACCATCGTTGGACGGAAGAAATCAAATTGGAGGGGAAAAGATCATTCCACAAAGAACAAAACAATTGTATCATGTTATTAGTCTTCGTAATAATAGCTAATTATTCTAACATTGGTTTTGGCCTCTCTAGTTCTTCTCACGATGTTTCTTCTTCCCTCAAAACTGCTCTTCTTCGTGTCAACAGCAATATCAGCTTGACTGACATCAGCTACGCCGCCAACGATTACGGCAACATTGTCCACAACCTCCCTCTCGCGGTGTTGCACCCGGCGTCCGTTGAAGAAATCGCGGACACCCTAAAGCTGGTCTCTCTCCTTGGGCCCGTCACGGGGCTCCAAACCGCAGCCTCAGGTGAGCGGAAATGTATCCGCGGGCAGTCGCAGGTCAAAGACGGGGTCGTGATAAACATGCGGTCAAACCCGCTGCATGAAACGCGGGTCAACGCGGGCGGAAGCCCGCCGTACGTGGATGTGTCCGGCGGGGAGACATGGATAAATTTGCTGAATGAGACTCTCAAGTATGGGTTGGCTCCCAGGTCTTGGACGGATTACATTCATCTTACCGTTGGGGGCACTCTCTCTAATTCTGGAATTAGCGGGCAAGCGTTCCGGCATGGCCCCCAGACCAGTAATGTCCTTCTGCTCGAGGTTGTTACGGGTTAGTCTTCCAATAGAGGCTGAATCGGGGCACTGACCCGGTACAAAGAATATTTTTGAAAGAAATTTACACAGAATTTTTTACACTAAAAATATGGACATTTTATAAATTTAGGTTGGGTCGAGGTCAGGGTCGGCCCTCCCCTAGCTACGCCCCTGCTTCCCACGCGCTCCAAAGGTCCTAATAATAGGAGTAAATAAAATAAAAATTGCAACAATAATATCATAAAACTTAAATTCCCAATTAATACAGTTTTTCCTTGAAACAACTAATACACCAAAACCAGTTTTCAGTGCACTCTATAGCTTTTACTTTTAAAAGTTGTTTTTCTTTTATAAGACTATCAACTCTATCTTACTTGAAAATCTCTTTTATAATTTATGATAAGATTTGAGGTTCAATTCCATCCTAAATAGTAACTTGAAGTAGTCCAAAAGTTTAATATAACACTTTATTACTTTAAAGTTTTATCGATGTTAGACTTGGTTAAGATCTTAGGTTTCATCCTAAAAGGTCAACCTGATAGGAGGAGTAACTCAAATTCTTATAAGTGTTTTATTGTTTTATAGCTTTCTGGTGTGAGGTAAATACTTTAACACGTCATCAGCTCGAACCGGACTGGACAATATTGAGGTGAATGTATAAATGGGCCAAACAAACTCTTAATAAAAGAGCTACTCTTGATCATGAGTGCTAAACAAAGCAGTAAAACCACATCTTGACTTGGCACTGATACCATATTATGATCTGGGGTTTCATCCTAAAAGGTCTACCTCTTAGGAGGACTAGCCGAAAATCTATAGTGTTTTATTGTTTTATAGCTTTCCGATGTAGGATAAATAATTTAATAAACTTCAATTCAACAACCCTCCTCATGACCACACACTTCGTCTGGATCGTGCAGTCGTTTCGTCATTCTTTTTTCGTTAATTTTTCATTTTCATTTTTCATAATCGCATCATCATTTTAATAGAGACCGCCCACACCATGGTTATGGATCGATTTGACTTTAATATCTTGTTAAGAATTGGATTCTATCCTAAAAGACCAACCATAGAAGAAGAACCCAATATCTTAATATATATCACTTCATCTCTTTACAAAAAGCCCAAACAAACTAGAAGCCAATAAATACTATGACAAGAAGTGTGGATTGGTAGTTTTTACTAGCTCTGTCCCACTAATATTAGGACATAAGGAAGTGATGGCGTGTGCAGTTATTAAAGAAAAATGGATTTATGTTACTGATATTGAATTGATAAAGTAAAAATGATTTAAAACAACACAACTTTGATCAAATTTGTTATAAAACAATTTTAATGGGATAGACCGTAAAGTAAAACTAATTCAATTTTCTTAGGGGAAGGGATGTATAGTACTCGATTATTAATCACGTAGAGTCCAATTTTTATAGTGCTAATAATTAAAACGAAGGTCTCTAAAAGTTTAAGAGGGTTGTGGCATTTGCGGGGCAATGTTTAATAGCCCATGCCTTAGTGCCCATCTAGGTAATTAAAAAAGTCAAAATATATGAGTTTTGTACAAAATATAGTATGATTAAACCTTAAACGCTAAGCAGAAAAGGATTGCAGGAAATGGAGAAATCCTAAATTGTTCAGCAACAGAGAATGCTGATCTCTTCAATGCTGTGAGGGGAGGGCTTGGGCAATTTGGTGTAATCACCATGGCAAGGATCGTCCTAGAGCCCGCGCCACAAAAGGTAAAAGCAAAAACAAAAAAACTAATAATTACTATACGTACTCTATAATAATTAACGACCACTAAAGTAATACTTGTAAATTACAATAAAATTATTTTGTGCAGGTTAAATTGATACGAGCGCTGTATTCGAATTTCACGGAGTTCTCTAGAGATCAAGAGTTCTTAATAACTTCAAATAATACATTTGATTATATCCAAGGAATGGTGCAAAAGAATAGCTCAGATGAACCGCCGGGTTTTCGCCTAGAAGTAGCAAAATATTTCAACAACATTGATGACCCGAAAACTGTGACAGCGGTATATATACTACACGCACTGTATCACTAATTTTATGTAACAATTTTGCATCATCAAATTTTAACTGAATTTTTCACGTAGCTTCTGGGTATGTAAATTTTTATTTCTAAATGTTTTTTTGTCAGGTAGAATATAACTTCATCATAAGTGAAACTTTCAAATCCGCAATAAGTATATATCATCATGAGTCCTTCCATTAAGTATCTCAACCCGGCCTTTAAGATCCTTTTAGACATTTGTTTAATTGACTTAGGGTTCCTGTTTATTCAATAAATTTAATACTACCTTCGTTCTCTTTTAAATACAACATTGAAATTTTTACACTATTCGCATGTTCTACTTTGACTCTATTTTATTATTTAATGTATTATAAATTAAATTTAAAAAATTTTAAATTCCTCTCATTTGAAATTTTCAAAAACTATTTTTTTTTAATTTTTTAATAATAAAGAATGAAAGATATTAGTGGTCAAACTTGTGTGTTGACAAACGTGAAAAGTAGACTGTTGCAATTAAAACATAACGAAAGAAGTATGAAGTATCAATCTATAAGGTCAACTTTAACCGAAAGAATGCTCCAAACCCTATATGAAGTATGTGTTTGTGTTTAGTTGTTCGTGTCAAATCGAGTATAAAATGATTAACTAATGTATAAGATTTCAGTCTACTCCTTTTATTAGGTTGATCGTTCAGGATGAAATCTCAATTTTTATTTAGTATGATATCATGCATAGATTATATATATACCAAGCTCTCTTAGATTGTTCATATACTCCTTTTATTAGGTTGATCATTCGGGATAAAATCTCAATTTTTATTTAGTATGATATCATGCATAGATTATATATATGCCAAGCTCTCTTAGATTGTTCATATACTACACATGTAGTATATATTGTCTTATAGATATGTATATTGTGCAGGAAATCCAGAGATTATTGTCCAATTTAAGCTTCATACCATCAACCCTAACTATTACAGAATCTACCTATGTAGAATTCCTAGAAAGAGTTTATACAACTGAGCTATTCTTGAGGAGCATTGGGTTATGGGAAGGAGGAGACGTGGCACACTTATGGCTCGAACTTTTCGTGCCTCAAAGCAAAATACAGACTTATGCTTCACAAGTTTTTTCCAATATCGTCTCTGATACAAACACAGGACCTATTCTTGTCTATCCCTTCAACAAGTCAAAGTATGTAATTATCTATAATATACTCCCTTCGTCCCGAAAAGATTGGTCAAAGTTGACTTTCACGTGGATTAATAAAGTAAAAATTGTGTGGTTGAAATTTGTGCAGATGAGAGAGAATTAATTTTAGCCACATATTCCTTACTTTAAATGGAAATGAAAAATCTTTTTGGGACATCCAAAAAAGGAAATTTGGTCAACCTTTTCGGGACGGAGGGAGTATATACATGTGTCCACTCCAACCCTTTTAAGTTAAAATGCGAGTTAAGTACGGTTTTGAATTCATACTCTCATATTATCCATTACCAAAGTTTAAAAATAACATACTGAGCTTATTATCTAAGTTATGTCAATATGATTCCGGAATGATGACACTTTTGTCAAAGAAAAAATGGGAATTCTTTCAACTTAAAATCACCTTAAACTACTTTTACTTCTGTTTATGACAACTTCTATAAAGCTTTATCATCCTTTCTCGACTGTCTTAATAATGATGGTACACTTCAAATAGTGGTTTGCATTAATTTATAATATGTGATACTTTTAAGCTTTATACTTTTATAAAGTTCTTTAAAGAACATTTTCATATTACGTTATATGTAATTTCGTATGTAAATGTACGTTATTACTCTGTATTTTTCAAAGTTCAATACTCCGTATCATTGATTACAAAGCCAAAGTTGATTAAGTTTTGAGAGATGGAAGGAGTGTATGTAGAGATTCATATGGTACGTAGTGTATAAACATACTTATAAATAACTCTCCGTCTCATTTTGTCTGTCTTAATTACTTTCCTTTTTTGAGTTGTTCCAAAATAAGTGCCACATTTCCTTTTTTCAAACAAAATATATGATTCACAACATTTCAATTCATTATAATCAAATATCAAACACATGCAACTTTTATATTTTCAATCACCTTGTTAATAATTGTGCCAAGCCAAAAGAAGTCGCATAAAATGCGACATAAGTAGTATTAATTTTAATTAAAAAACTAAAAGTATGATTAATTTTTGTTATGATCATAAAAATTTCAGGTTTGACAACAAAACATCACTGGTTTTTCCAGACGAGGATATATTTTACCTCACATCATTCCTTCCACGCACAAACCTCACATCCAATGGGACAGATGGGTTGGAAAAGTGGAGCATTGAAAGACAGAAAATCTTGGATTTCTGCGAGTCAGTAAAGATCGAAGTGTATCAATACTTTCCTTTCTATGAGACACAAGAAGAGTACAAGGAGAAACACTATGGGCCAGAACGGTGGAAGGTGCTTTCACAGAGGAAATCAAAGTATGACACTTCATGTACTCTGGCGCCCGGCCACAACATTTTTAATTTCACCAACTGTCCGGGTCTGACCACTGACCATGTAAGTGGTATCGGTTTACCGGTGGCAAGCGCGGAGATATATAGAGACGATATTATACACAAAGAGCTTTGATTCTACTGAGGATATAACATGGTACAAACTCACATTTGCTAGATACATGTACAATATATACTTACGTTCAAATGAAATAAAAGTATTTATTCGTATATGTACATTTGAGGAGACGGGAACCTGACCTCGTTTTGTGTAACAACTAGTATTTTTACTCGTGCCCTGCACGGGGTAAAAGACGTTATGTAGTATTGTTTTTAGTTTTATTATAGAACGTAGAGAAAAATATTTGAAGATGTGAGTGTCTCTCCATAGTATCTAAAGAGAAGGGATGACCAAATAAATATGCTGATATCGAAATTTGATCTCTAATTGATTCATTATTACATAAAACTAAATTTTGTAGCTCACCATCTTGCTAAATAAGAATTGAAAGCGGTCTCATAATTAATTTTAGGCTAAAAGGTCAAATAGGTACATGAACTAACTTAAAGTGTTCGATTAGCCCCTTATATAGGAGGTTCTTCCAGGCCGTCGCCAATTGGGTAATTTCTGGGTGGAATTTTTTGATGAAATTTTTTGAGCATCTTTTTCATTAAGTCTAGTTTACTCATACCAAATTTCAGCTGAAAATTCAACCGGGAAGGCAGTCAAATGAGTTTTTAAAGATAACTGCGCAGTTAAACAGTGCAGTACATTTCGGAAAATCATTTGACTGCCTTCCCAATTTAATTTTTGACTGAAATTTGCTATGGATAAACTAGACTTAATGAAAAAGATGCTCAAAAAATTTCATCAAAAATGTTTACCGGGAACCACCCCAATTGGCGACGGTCAGGCAGAACCTCCTATATAAGGGGCTAATTGAAAACTTTAAGTTAGTTCATGTACCTATTTGACCCTTTAGCCTTAATTTTAAATTCTCGGAGTGAACTTTCTATTATTGTAAAAGGTTTCCTACGCAAACTGTACGTGAGGGCATTTTATATTCTGTATTTAATTTTATCATTTTTGTGTATTATCATACACAATTGTATTCATTTTTCATCTTATGGATAATCGTTAGTAAATGACAACAAGGGGTAGGAGCTTACCCTCTTGATTTTGGTGATTCATCTTATGGATTTAAAAAAGTATTGAAAAAAATACAGTATTGAGACATTTAAGTTTTAATGGTGGTGACGACCGCAAGATGTTTGATGGTAAGTTAATGATAGTATAGAATTGCTATTGTTTATTTTTGTAATTTTAACTATTTTTTATTAGTTCTAGTTGTAGAAATTACACACTTTTGGTGTAATAGTTTAGTTTGTAAAATGTTTGTAATTTGTTTAGATTAGGACTTTTCTGAGCTAAACAGGTCAAAGATCATCCAAAGGATCAAGATTGAACCTCAAAAGATCAAGGAAAGTGCAAGAAGGCAAGAAAGATTTCGATTTGGATAAAATACTTTTATACCCGGTCGTGTATAAGCAATACCCGATCGGGTATTTGTTTGATTCGATTATCCAAATCAAATCCGGGAACAAATGATCGTGGGAGCAAGATTTCGTAAAGATTTGTCACATACCCGATCGGGTACACCGATATACCCGATCGGGTATTGCGTTGATTCGGGTGTCAAATCAGAATCTGGAAAGACAAGAAAACGTGCAGGATTTTGACTTTTTGGCTCATACCCGATCGGTATGCCAACATACCCGATAGGGTATGTCTCGAAAAGTCAATTTCTGGGAAATTTCCTAAGATACACCCCTTCCCTATACACCCGGTCGGGTATCAGACCCTGCAGTCCCCAAAAGTCTATAAATACACCCCTTTCCTTCACAATAAGAGAACCAATTCACATATACTTCTAAGCTCAGTCTAAAATAGTTCTTTCTTTATATTTTCATCATGTTTAGTCTCCAAATGAGGAGCTAAACTCTTTCATCTTGGTTTTGCTACTTTGAAGCTTAATGAATTCGTAAGGTGTGAGTTATTCTCTTTAATTTTCTTCCTTGAAATATTAATTCTTCCTTAAAATACTATTTCTATATCAATGTTGGGGAGTGTTACTAAAATGACAATTAGTTAACATTTTGACATTAGTTAGAGCATCCATAATGCATTGATGTCTAGTTTAGGTAAAGTGTGTTACATCACCCAGTTAGACTTGGAGTAATTATTTTTACTTCCAATGCATGTAGTCCATGGCTGACATGGCAAAAAAAATTAGACGCCGTGAAGAAGTAATTTCTTTGTGTAGAAAGGCATATGGACTTGCTGACTCACACAAATAAGGCTTATTTGTCGGCAAAAACAGGGGAAACGCACGATAATGCTATTATCACGTTTCTACTTCATACTCCCTCCGGTTCCTATTAAAGTTCTCAGTTTGACTTCACACAGATTAAGAAAATAAATTTGACTTTACTGTG